GTTCTGTTTCTAACCAAAGAAGCTGTAGGAGACTGAACAAATATGGAGCGATTATTTGACATCTCCCAAAAGTTATTTACAAAGTCAAGTCTTTTCGTTACCTTTGTGTGTCTCAGGGAAGATGGAAAAACAACAAAGCAACTCTGATTACTTGAGTTTTCTGGCTCCTTGGATTCTAGATAATTGAAAGTTTTCTGGTACTGAAGGTCACTTTCAGAAGCATCAAGTATAGATCAAAACAGAAAGCGGAGGGCAAGATAAAGACGAAAATATGTGTGAGTCCAACTCAGCTCAGAGCTTGAGTTTAATTGAGATTCCAACTGCCACTCTCCCCTGCATTCCTTTGTCCTAGGCTATGACCAAGTTCATGGCTGTATCACCCCAAGTAATCCCTGTAATGGGCTTCAATCCTGGGGGAGCTGTTTCTGTTTATTAAGTGGCCAATCTCTGAGCCACATGGAGTGTGGCCAGTTGTGGCTTCTTGCCCTGGCAGCTGATGGGCCACTTTTCTGTTTTAAAAAACAGGATCTTCCAGGGGAGAGAAGGAGGATAGCAGGCAGGGGTTGGGGAAGAGCCAGAGACAGAGAGATGAGGGGTGCTGGAAGTGAGGGCCCCTTCTAGGTCATAAGCTCTTTGAGAGCAGAATTCATGTGTGGGCTGCACGTTAGCTATTCTTGAGATTGAAACCACAGTTGTATAGGGCTTCAATGTAGTTCCAGGGATGGTGTCACAGTTATGGCTGTCCATGATGCCACCAGTGTGGACAGCTGGGAGAAGGGATGAGAAGACCAAAGGGGGACAACAGGCATAAAGTGGTGAATGAACATGGTGAGGCAAATAGCAGAGAGTGGGCTTCCCTGAGGGTCAGGAATCTTCAGTGCTTCAGATCCCAGCTCAGGCGACAGGACCAGGCTAGGCCCCAAACACTTCTCAAGCCAAATGCCTCTTCCTTCTCTGCCCACAGCCCCAGGGTTAGCTCCTCAGAGTTGGGGAAACACTGCAGCAGCTGCTGGTTTAGAGACCCTGTCCCCTCACTGTGCTCCCCCGCATCTGTCCTCTGGTTAGAGTTGTGTGAAGCGGAAGACAATCTGGGGCTTATTAGTGTCCCAGGGAGACATGTAACTTGTGTTGCTGGGACCCAAACAGCAAGAGCCTTAGCGGCAAACTCCAGCCGAGAAAAGACTGAGGAATTGTCTCACCTAATTACAGGGAATGGCCCTCTTTGTGTTTGTGATTCGGTACGGTTGTCTGATCGCTTTTGATCGCTCTTCTCCATTTGCTGGCTCAGGCCATGCTGGAATTGTGCTAATTAGAAGAGAAACGGACAGAGTGATCCTGTCAGCCCTGGTTACTGGTGGGGACAAAGCAGAATATTATTCTGAGGCAGTGTTTTGTGAGGGCCCTTCTTCCAGCTCTCATTAGGAGGAAGGGGCCCACAGGAGGGAAAAGTTCCGAATGCCTGGCCCGGCTAATGGAGCATTGGGATGTTCATGTGCTAATTAACAGGCTCTTCCAGCACTGCGCCAACGAGGAGCCTCACGGTCGCACCTGGTGCCACCTGAAGCCCCCAACCACCCCTGCTCATGAAGAAAAATTGTTGGGCAAAGAGTGGGAAGGCCAGTGGCCTCTTTAGGCATAGTCAGAGACACATCCCCAAAGTGCCCTAAAGCCCAAATAGATACGAAATGTCGGTTACAGTCCAGTCAGAATTTACGACCTTGGAGAGACCATTGTTTGCCCTCTCTTGGGGTGGGGGTTGCATGGCTCTCTGGTGAAATGAAGCCCATGCAGGGGTCAGCTAGTCTTGTAGCTCTCAAAGGATGAAGAAAACAGAAACTGGAGAACATAACCATAAGCTTGGAGATGGAGTTTGTGCAGAAGTTGGGAGCTGGTAAGAAACCATGTTATGTGACCCCCAGAACCATACACCTTGGCCCATCTGCCCATTTCCTTCCTTCCTGCTCTGCATGTTTACCTTCCTGTGATGCCTTAATCCTGGAGGAAACAGAAGAGACCAGAGCATCCCATTGGAAATAAAATTTCTTGGCTTCATTACAAAGTTCCCATGGAAGCCCAAACACCCTTCTGAAGCCACAGGGGCAATGGAATGACTTCCACCAGCTCCATTTTCACTGCCCTGATTTGGTGAGTCCAGAAGACAGCGGAGCTACAATAGGCTGCAGCTGGAGAACCAAACACAAGGAGAAGTTAGCAAGGGTCCGTTTAAAAAACATGATCACAGGCTGGCCCGGTGGCATGGTAGTTAAGTTCGTGCGCTCCGCTTCGGTGGCCTGGGGTTCGCAGGTTCAGATCCTGGACGCAGACCTACACATCACTTATCAAGCCATGCTGTGGCAAGTGCCCTACGTAAAATAGAGGAAGATGGGCATGGATGTTAGCTCAGGGCCAATCTTCCTCAGCAAAGGGAGGAGGATTGGCAACAGATGTTAGCTCAGGGCTAATCTTCCTCACCAAAAATAATAATAATAAAAAACATGATCAATGGGCAACAAAAAGATAAAGGAAAATTAATGAAGGCGTTTTGATATCAATGCAATTAATATCCAGTGAACTTTTAGTGCTCTAACAATGGAAGGAGAGACAAGCAAATCAGCAGAGGCCTAAAACCCGAGACCAAAGTGAGCAAGGAGCAACGGGACTGCTGGTGAGGAAAGATTTGAATAAGCATTTGAAAACAAGCCTCCAAGCACAAGCCTCCAAGCACCAGTGCTAGGCTTCTCAGGACAGTGCTGCTCACAGCCAACAGATGCGTTACAGGATAGTATTCAGGATGGCAAATGGAAAGGGAAAATAAACCTGTGGGCAAATAATAAGTAAGTATTTATTGGAAAAATAATCTCTAAAGATTTAGAGCGGAACATTCATAACACTGTCCCTATTCAGCCAGCCAGCCAGCCATGCTTTTCTAGAGCACAGAAATCTACTGTCCACCTGGCGGTTTTCTTGGAAATCAGTGAGGAGCCAGTGATGCCGAGCAATCTGCTTTCCTCAAAATGGAATGTTTTCTCTACAAGGGCGTGCTCTGCTCTAGAGCAGGTAAACTATCAACGGCTGATAGCAGTACTGATTAATATTTCCTCTTCTCTAGTTCTTGAACAGAGGTGAAAAGGAACTCACACTAAAGGTTTCAGTAGGTGGCAGAGAAATATTTGTTTTCAAGCCATCATGTTTAACTGAAAGTCTGAGAACAGATAGGTTTTGAACTCTAGTTCAGTTCAAAGAAGACACTGAAGAAGAACTAGACATGTAGGAGACAGCCATAACCTTGAGGGGGCTTATAATTTAATAGGGCAATAAGATATGTACTCAGATCGCTTAAATATAAGGCAGAGTATTATATTATATTATGGAAGAGTCATAAGGATGGTATATGTAAACGCTGTAGGAATGGAGGGGGAAGGATTATTTCCAGCTGGATCATGAGGAGTTTATAAAAGAATAGGTTTGATATGTGCAAAAAGGATGAAAGACTTTCCAAGAACTCAATGGTATGAGCAAAGGCACTCCAGTAGGAACTGGGAATTATTTAGATTAACCAGAACAGAGACTTCATATATTGGAGAGGAAGGAAACCAAACTGAAGGATTGATTAGGATTACATGTAGAGAGTTTTAAATGCCAGGATGAGGGGGGCCAGCCCCATGGCACAGTGGTTAAGGTCGTGCACTCAGCTTTGGCGGCCAGGGGTTTGCAGGTTCTGATCCCGGGCATGGAGCTACACACTGCTTATCAAGTCCCACATAGAAAGTAGAGGAAGATGGGCACAGATGTTAGCCCAGGGCCAATCATCCTCAGCAAAAAGAGGAAGACTGGCAACAGATGTTAGCTCAGGGCTAATCTTCCTCACAAAATAAATAAATAAATAAATGCCAGGATGATAGACCCAGATTTTATTAGTAGACATGGGGAGGTATTAAAGGTTTTTTTTGTTTGTTTTTTGGTGGGGAAGATTGGCCCTGACCTAATACCTGTTGCCAATCCTCCTCGTTTTGCTTGAGGAAGACTGGCCCTGAGCTAACATCTGTGCCAAGCTTCCTCCATCTTGTATGTGGGTCGCTGCCACAGCATGGTTTGATGAGTGGTATAGGTCCATGCCTGAGATCCGAACTCACGACCCTGGGCCGCCAAAGCACAGCGCGCCGAACTTAACCACTACACCATTGGGCTGGCCCCTAAAGGCTTTTAAATAGTTGAGCAGTAATGAGCAGTAATGGAGTTGAGCGGTAAAGAGCTGGATGGCTGGTAGAAGAGACTGGAAGCTAGGAGACCACATAGCAGATGACCATAAAGCCCCACTAAGAGGGGGGGTTAGCTGTCATTATAGTTGCATTTTCTGATGAGATCTATGCTTTAAAAATGCAACTTGACCCTCTGAGGAAGAACTCACTCTCCTATAAAAGGGACATATTTATTACGATGACAAGGACACCATCACATACAAAGTACAATCTTTAACACCCTGAAATACATACACACGTTGTACATATATTTATATTATCAATATAAAAATACATCATTAACATTTCTAAGGACGACAAATACAAAACCAATAAATATTGCAATTCTAAAACATCTACTTACATTAAGTGCTGGTGAATAAGATGACAGTAAAAGAAAGAGGCCAAAGCAGACCAGAAAACCAACTACATAGCTTCAGGTTACAGACTTGAGTTGGTTTTGGGGAGGTATCCCAATATTCTCCACATATTTCTCAATTTCCCCAAGCACTTAAAAGTGCCTGATGTCACCAACTCTCAAAAACAGAGCAAAGGAAGAACTGGACATTATGGCACTATTTTTTGCCCCACCCCACCTCTCTCTCACTCTTCAACCGCATTTAGATATAAAGGAATGTCAATAATAAGCTTAACTTAAAATCAAAGCCTCTACAACCTAACCTTCTATACAGCATCCAAGCAGAATGTTTTTGTTCTCATACTCATCCTTTGCGTGTTGTGTTCAAATTTTTTCCTCTTTTCAATATGTAAAATTGTATGGATGGTCAAATGGTACAAATGAAAGAAAAATCCAACATTAATTCTAGCAAGGGAAACAAGGCACAAGTGTCAGCAAATGGTTAATAGCCCAGCTATTAAACTGAACACTGTCGCGCCCTAGCACAGACACTCAGGACCAAAAACTTGACCGCAATTTTCCCTGTCTCCAAACATCATCAGACTACTGCCATGTGGATGTTCTTTTCATAAAGGTTAGGAAACCCCATGTACTTTTCAAAACATTAGAAGCTGGAGGTTGGCTTATAAGACAAAATACGGAGAACATGTGTAATCAATTTTACCCACGGACTAGACTTTTCTGGTTTTAACACAGAGATAGATAATGTCAAATAGCTCCATAACAGTTGTATTTAAGTCAGGAAATTGTCTTTTTCTTTCGCACGCGTGTGTGTGTTTCTGTTATATGGATGAAATATCTGATGTGTGCTGCGAGAGGGGACAAGGAGGGGCAAAACATTGCCACCATTCCACAGCACATTCCTTTAAGGTCAATTAGAGTTTCTAGTTTTTAATCAAATAGGAACTCCTGCAAACAATCCCCTTCTCCTATCTTTCAGGCTGTATTAACTTTCTCATTTGAATCTGTAACAGATTAACTAGAACTGAAAAGTCCTTTCTGTCACCTTTAACTTGGTCTTGAGGTCTAGAACGTAATGCAACCTTGCATGGGCCTTTCACTGTATAAGCTAATCCCAGGGGGGCCTTGATACATAGGGATCCCTTCCCTGGAGTCAGAACTGATGGCAGGGGCTGGGAGGTGGGGAATGGAAGGCATTGGGGGATCAGACTATCATGAGAGGTACAGAATTTGAAAATCAGGTGTACATTTTTAAAAGATTCTGGTTTCTCTAGCTGGGGATTCTGAATCTAGTATACACTGAAGAGTTCACAAGTCAGGCTGCATGGTGTGTCCCAGAATCTAATTGGTCTCTGGTCTCCTCGCATCATAAATACTTCCTAAGAGATCAAGTACAACTCAAAAGAACCCATCCAATCAACATGTCACAACTGACTTTGCCATTACTGAATCAATTCAACCGTAAGATCCTGGGGCTCCTGAATCACTTCCGGAAATGAGAAAGCAGGACTTGGACCTTTAAAAATGATATGCCCTCTGGTGTTACCAGCATCTGAGGCTGAGATGGTCAAAATCTGGAAGCTGATTGAATAATTGCACTGATCCTTGGGTAGAGTAGATTCTTCTCTTGCCGCCGAATGTCCTCAGAGGCGCAGAGTGCCAGGAGCAGGGGAGAGGGTCAGTCCTGGAGGTGCACCCTCCAGCCTCTCACCCGGAAGCAGTGAAGTGCACATCATCAGAGCTGCACTGGGAGGGAAGCACGGTTCCAGGCCCCAGGACATCCTGTCCACAAGCAGCTGCTACTTCTTGGGCTTCTCTAGAATGTTGAGGAATTTCCCTCGTGTCATCTCTCTAGCTGGAATCGCAAAGCAAATGAAAGATCAATGAAAACCTAAAATCTGAAAAAGGGATCTCAGGAAAATTTAATTTAAAAATTCAGATTGATTTAAATTGTATACAAAGTTGCTACCGTAACAGATTCAATCACCGCCAACCTCCAAAAAGGGGGGAAAATAAACCACTATTGACAATGAAAACTGTACAAAGCTGTTTTGAAGTTGGCAAGTGCTATAAGGCACAGGTCAACTGAGGAAGACTTGATCATCCACCATTAAAAAAATCACCAGGGAATCCCCCCAAAACCTCTCTCTCTCAAGAATGTAAGCTAGTACTCATGTTCACTATCTCAGGGGGTTTGCTCTAAGAGGCTAAAATCCAACCAAGATTAGACTCTTCTCTGGGTTGTTGGTCTCTGGACATTTACAATCTCAAATCAAAATTAGAGATCATTTACCCCATCTCCCAGCAGTGGCAGTCCCTGGATGCTGTAACATAACAGGGTTTATATCCCCTCAGTGCAGTTCATCTGTGGATGGTGTAATAAAGCAGGGTTTATAGAGATTTGGTCTTCTCTCTCTTGGCATTGTCAGTCCTTAGATATTTAATATAGCCAGGCAAGGTTTATGTGTCTTTCTCTGACTTTCAGCACCATCAATCTTTGAACGCTGTAGTTACAAGAGGGTTTATACAGCTACTTTCCTACATATGAGGCTCCTAAATGAAACTAAAACATTGCTCAATTACAAGGGCCACTCCAGAAGCCCCCCATTTTAGCTCTGTCAAGCAAATCCTCAAAAATCACATGTAACATAAAACCTCCTTCATCCTCATCCCCATAAGATCATCTTTTCAGATTTCTTAAATGGATTTATCAGAGCTAAAAGTTTCCAGTGGCTTGGCCTGGAGGCCAGAAGTCTTCTGGAACAGTGCAGTGGGCATAGAGTAGGCTGTGCCCCATGGCCTCCCAAGAACACGTCTCCATCTTGGCTAAAGAAGTGAGGTGGTTAGGGAGGTACTTGCAGGGATGAGAAGGACCTTCGCCCCAGCCTCCTTGCTAACTTCCCAAGTCCAGAACAAATGGTACTAGATGAATGGGCTCCCCCCACACCTCCAACTTATGTTTAACAGTTCCTGGTTTATTTGTCCAACAAAGAAATAAAACAATACAAACTGTGTAACCACAGAAAGCGTTTTGGTAACTGTAATCTATATATTCCCCATCTTTTACAAGTTCCTGAGCTCCAACAAAGGGAAAAGAAATCCAATTAACTAGGAATGAAAGCCCCAGTGCTGGGTCTTGCCTCATATGCCCACAACCCCACTCTGGCGAAAATCAAACTGATCATTCCTTCCTTGGTGGATTTACACCAAAACCTATACATACAAAGTTCCTATAAGACTTGCAATTACTTCTTTATATACTTGTTCTCCTCTGCTGAAGTGTAAGAACTGAGGGGAGAGAGTGTGTTGTATTATTCTTTATATCACCAGCACCCAGCATAGAGCTAGATCGAGTATCCACTGAATAAATGTTGGCTGAATGAATGATAATATGCAAAAAAAACAGAACCGAGTAGGAACACAATAAAGTTCGTTCCCTTTCCTTCCACAGACAAACAATAAGACTTGTTAGTGGCCCTTGGTGCTCCATTCTCTACATTGTGGGATTCTTTATAAATTTACCTTGCTTATTTGGCAAGAAAAATCACTTCCCTTGATGGAAATAATGCCAGATTAATGGAGAGATCGAGGAGCAAGGACTAACTACCCTAAAAGAAATCCAGGCAAGGACTTCCTTGCCCATGGGAGGCAGCATGGACTTCTTTCAGAGAACACAGGATCTGCTCTAGTACTTAACAGCTGGGTGACACCATGGGCTAAGATCTCTGAACCTCAGTTTCTACATCTATAAAATGGGTAGCATATTACTATCACCTGCCCCGCTTTTTCTCTTGGATATTCAGCAATGAACATGCTTGGTACAGAAGCAATGATTAACACAACACCTTTCAGAGGCTGCTTCTTATGTACTCAGTATTTCCTGAGTGAATGAATGAAAGAACTGAGAAAAGAAGGGAGGCTACAATCTCAAAAATTCCATTGCTTGGAATCTTTTCCCTCAGCCTGATCCTATAGGAATTGACTTACACTTTGGGCCAGAGTGAATCTCATCACTTATTTCTACCGGATGGGTTTTCTGCCTATTCTCCAGCGCTTATTAAGGACTTTAAACATAGTATCAAATGATCCTGCAACAAGGCTAGAAGCAGATGCTCTGGAAACCAGACATGGGTAATACAAAACTCTGCTGGGTAGAAGGGAGCCTTGTTCCAAAAATCCTAGGCCAGGAGCACTGTACTGATCTTACTAATTATTTCCGCCTGCTGCCCTTCAGATCCCCCAATTCTTTACTGTTTTTTTCCCCAAATGAGAAATTGACTAGTATTTTAAGACTTAAAATTTAAAAAGACCCAATCTATTTGAAGGATCAAAAGGATTTAAAGGAAAAATAAAAGGATATTCCAGAGTCTCTCGGTGGCAAGCTCTCCTTGAATTTAACCAATCCTCTTTAACAACCCTTTCCCACTCAATCATTCCTCCCCCTTCAACCTAATCTAAGTACACAGAGCTGCAGGAAACCACCGTTAAAGTAGAAGTAATTCAAAAGACATCATCTTCTACATGGGAGGGGAGAAAGTTTTCCTACTCGCCAGTCCCATATAGGAGATATACGAATTCGTGACATAGCTGCTCCCTAAAAGAGGGCTGTGCCCTATAAATCACATCCTAAGCACCAACCCCTTTTTGTGCACAGAGAAATTGCTGTGGGTCAGGGGCTGCTCCAGAGCACGTGCCCTCCTGTTCACCTGTCATCAGAGATGTTAACATCTCTGATTAATTCACATACCCCTTATTTTATTCCTCATTTCTTTATCCTTGCTCTCCTGCTCTGCTGAAGTGTGAAGATTCTTACTGACCTGCTACAGTAATCACCGCCTGCTAACTGCACCCCCCTAAACCTAGTGAAATTGTTTAGTGATGCCAACCGCGCTTTTAATTTGCCAAACATCAGACACAGTGGTAATTTATACCAACATCTGTTCAGTTTTGACTTCTGAAACAAACTCGCACATGCTGCTACAAAATCCCATTAGGAGTAGGGAGACAGCCTTCTGCTACTATTCTGTATTCCTCTTCTACACACATACACACACACACACACACACACGCACGCACGCACACACACACACCCTCTCTTCCAGTAGGGTTTTATATATAAATGTATTTTACTAAAAAACTCCCACCAAGGACTTCAAACCTCTTTGGGGAAAAACCTTTAGAGATGTCTACAACTTGCTTTCAGAGGAGAAGAATCTCTATTTCCCCCTGTCTAGTTCCATCCCTTTTTCCCAATAGTTACAGCTGGGTATAATTCTCACATTAATGGCCAGGGTGAGATTATATGCCCCTCAGTTTGTCTCTTCCAGTTCCTTTTTCTCTCCCGGTTCTATTTTTCCACAATGTGTTAGATAGAAGACAATCCTAGAGACAATAAGATTGCTAGAGAGTGTTTTATCTAAAGTCAATAAAATTTAACTATTTTTTAATTCTGCATTAATTCTCTGGGATTACAAGGTTCAACAGGAAGGCAACATTGCTAACACATACTAAGAACTATGCCAAGAGGGATCCCCTGGTCATCAGCCGCTACAGTGTATGCTATGCAGAAGAGAAGCATGACCTCCACGTCAAGTTATGATTTACAGGCCCTCCTATGCAGTGATAGACCAGAAACCAAGAAAGCCACATAGAGACTGTCACCAGAGGGTGAACATGTGAATTGCTGCAGAGAGTGTGGGAGAGGGGGCCACTTGTACACATTTACAGACAGCACATGGATAAGCTATAAGCAACCTCCAGGTTTATGCTGTTCCTATTATCCCCTTCATCATTTCTCTAGGGCTCTTAGGTTCATGGCAGCTGAATACCTGCGTATACTCAGAGAGGTCAGGGCTGAAGGCAGGACTCCATCCTGCGTGCTCTGAAGGGAGTGTGTGGTTTAATATAATCTCTTCTTTAGACTCTCCAATTCCTCCATCCTACATTTAGCCTTGCCTCTGGCTCCCTTTCCACAATGACTATCCCTAAACTGCCTTCTCTGCAGTAAATTTTCTGGTAGCTGGTTGAAAAGATTCAGTGGTACAGATTGATTTCTCATCGGTGAGGGGATGAGGGATTACCAGAGGCACCCTGGTTAACGAGATTGGGTGCAGAATCTCTCATGAGACCAGCCCTCTCTGCCAGGGCTTTGCACCTTTCACCCATGACATATGGGTTTCATTACAGAAAGATTTTCCAGATTATAACTTTGAGGCAATTGCCCGATAAAATTCTGCTGGGCTTTAATGTAGGGAACAATGTAAAGATTAAGTAACTTTTAATGAAATGGAAGAAACTCATAATGTTTGGTTTTCAATTCCAGTGCAAACTATTTTAAATATTTCTGTGCCTCAATATAATTAAAAACATTAGTGAGGTGAAGAAGAGCTACTTTCCACTGGTTCTCTCACACTCTGAAGAGCAACAACAGGCTGTCTTTAGAAGACTCTAATATGAGTGGTCAGGAAACACAGGGGACAGTGTAACATTGTGAAAAGAGCAGAGCTTTTAGCATCAGACAGGCTTGGATTTGAACCCCAGCTCCCAGACTGACCCTGAACCACTGGGGGCAAGTCACACAAGCCAACTTTCTGAGCTTTAGTTTCCTCATCTGTTCAAGGCGGGATTAATACAGAGGTCACAGAAGCATTCAATAAATGCTAGCTACTGGACAACTATTTCTTTCTTTCATTTCAAACAGAAGTTTATTTAAGCAACAAGACATTTGACAGGAAAACGATCTAGGATTCATTTCTTTTAGAGTAATTTATCCCTACTTAAAGACAGATTGCCCTACATGTAACAGCTATGCACAAAAAAGTTATAAAATGGTCCTTAGTTTTACAATGATAAGTG